AAGAACCTTGGGGAGGTAAAATACTACCTCGGGATGCACGTGGAGAGGGATCCAGATCACAGGTGGTTGAAAATGCACGAGAAGTTCATCAAGGAGCTGGGGGAGAAGTATGGGATTGAGAATGAGCACAAGGTTGCAACTCCCCTACCAGCAGAATTCAAGCTTGTTAAGGCTGCAGAGGATGAAGGGGTTGAAGCTGAAGAGCAGCAGCAATTCCAGTCCTTGGTGGGCAGCCTCTTATATGCAGCTGTTCACACGAGGCCTGACATCTCTTTCTCGGTTGGGCAGCTGGCTAGGGTGGTGCAGAATCCATTAGAGGAGCAGGTGGATGCAGCTGAGCGTGTGGTGAAGTATCTGAACTCCCACCCAAGCGTTGGAGTTCAATACTCCGCATCTGCACAGGTGAAGCAGAAAGGGGTTGAGTTGCTCAACTAGAATGGGGAGAGGCTTGGAGAAGGCAAGCTCTTTCTCACTTGCTTTACCGGTGCAACTTGGGCTTCTGAGAAGGAAGATTCTTCATCTGTAGGGGGATACATCTGCGTAGTAGGGGGAAGATCTGTTAGTTGGAGGTTCAAGAAGCAGACGGAGACAGCACTCTCTTCTGTGGAATCAGAGACATGGCAATTTTCTACGGGATGAAGGAGGTGATTTGGCTGAGGAGGTTGTTAGAGGAGATTGGTCAGGAGCAGAAGGTAGCTACGCCGCTGTTTTGTGATAGCAAGGGGGCTCTTGGGATGGCCAGGAACGCAATGCTTCATGGGCTGAACAAGCACATGCGTATCAAGTGGCACTGGCTGCGTCAAGAAGTGAAAAGAAGGACGGTGGATCCGATCTACATCAAGACTCACAAGCAGCCAGCAGACTTCCTCACCAAGAGGCTTGCGGATGAGCCTCATTGGCGTTGTGTGTGCATGAGTGGAATGAGCATCAACTAGCATGGAATGATGGAAATGCAGCCGGCAGGCTGAGGGGGAGTGTCTTGGAAGCAAATTCACATTGCACGACATCCTGCCGTCTGTTTGTACGAGTATGCGTGTGCGAATGCATTTGCGTGTGAATGGTATGCTCGTGTGTTTGTTTGTTTTCGCAATTTTCGCTTGAAGAATTTCCAGGTACTCGCACAATGTGCGCTTTGGCACAACATTGTACGCGCTATGAACAGTGCAAGCAGAAAGGACGAGCTCGCAAAGGAACCCAAGATGGAAGCTTTGCAGTTCGGTTGATATGATTGCGCAGATTCAGTTCTATCCAACTCGAAATTGTACTGTTATGTTTGGTGGACTATTGTGTAGCAGGGCAGGCACTATAGGGGTACAATTTAGGTGAAGGTTGGATGTTGTTTGTCTGTATCTGCATGCTACAAAGCCAGGGGAAACCAGGGGAACCAGCATTTGGCTGGATGGGCAAAGACAAAAGAGGTTCTGTTTTTAGAACCTGAATCTGGTTGTTGTTTTCCCAGGTTGGAAAAACAGAACCAGAGGTTGTTTTCCAACCTACCACCTGCTGTTTTGTCCAGCCAGGTTGGTTCTGTTGCTTGGAATTGTTGGTGTAAGGGCCTAATAAACTCAAGCTTTTAAGACTTTATCACACTTAAAACCTCTCCTCGGGGTCACCTCCAAGGGTCCTTGGGTGCCTGGTACAAGACCAGCCCCTATCCTCGGGTCCGAGTTTGTAGAGAGAGGGATCAAGAGGGACTTAGTCAAAACAGCAAGAGTACCTTGAACGTCGCGCAGCGTATCGTGCAGACCGTCGATCGGATTAAGCTGAGAATTTCCTATATCGAAGCTCACTCTAAGAGCTTTAAAATAAGCCAAGTTGCCTCGCGAAAAGTTCTGCCATTACGAAGTTATGGCTCGGACAGCGTTAGCCTAGCGTTGGAGTGCTAGCGTACTAGCGTTGACTCGGGTAGCATTCCGCCGTCGCACCGCGTAGAAAAGAAATTCCAGCAAGGAAGGAATTCGCTTGAATCAATTTCACTATATTCAGGTACAAACAGAGAAGGAATAAATAGCTCTAGCTAGCAAGGACCTTGGGAATCAACCTGGGAACAACCAGGGATGATCCCAAATAATTCCAAGCAACAGAACCAACCTGGCTGGACAAAATAGCAGGTGATAGGTTGGTGAACAATCTCTGGTTCTGTTTTTCCAACCTGGGAAAACAACAAACAGGTTCAGGTCCTAAAAACAGAACCTGTTTTGTCTTTGCCCAACCAGCCAAATGCTGGTTCCGCTGGTTTCCCC